ATATATGAATTGGAGAAACATGTTTGTATTCACACTCTTGATCTTTTTTTATTATTTATTTATTCCTTAACTACTTGAAAGGGAGCCTCGGTGCAATGGTAAGAAACTATGTTGTTCAGATCCTTTAGAAATGTACTCGCACTTATGTCAGATCCTCGAAAAATCAATAACTTTTGGAGGATTTAGCACACACTCCATTGACATTTTTTGAAGGATCCCAATTCCCAAAGCCCTATGTATCACAAGCAAACACCACATGTGCTTTACTATTTTAATTGGTGGGGGTAGAGGGTTTTTGTGCATTATAGCACATGCCATGACTACGGGTTCTTTACTTTTTGGTGGTGTATAGGGTTTTTGTCACATAGAGAAAATCGATTCTTGCTACTCTGTTTGCTTAACACAAGTCTTATTTAACTTACATGGACAAACTTCATAGTTCATTTATATGATCTTTTTTTTTTCAATTATGAATAGGAAGTGGATTGGATAACAAAGAGATTGTCATTGAGGACTATTGGACCAACCATACCATCCATGTATGTGGACAAGAGAGTTGAGAATGATAATTCATATGGTCTAAGTATGTACACGCCTAAAACTGATGTTTGCATGAAATGGCTAAGTGATTGTGATGATGGATCAGTTGTGTATGTCTCATTTGGAAGTATGGCTGAATTGAAAGATGAGCAAATGAAGGAGATAGCTTGTGGATTGAAGAAAAGCAATCACAACTTCTTGTGGGTAGTTAGAGAATCAGAAGAGCCTAAAATTCCAAAAGATTTTTTAGAGAACATCACAAAGGAAAAGGGTCTAGTTGTAACTTGGTGTCCACAATTAGATGTGTTAGCACACAAAGCAATTGGTTGTTTTATGACACATTGTGGATGGAATTCTACTTTAGAGGCCTTGAGTTTGGGAGTTCCAATGGTGGCAATTCCAATATGGACTGATCAATGTACAAATGCTAAGTATGTGATGGATATTTGGGAGATGGGAATAAAGGCACAAGCTAATGAAAAGGGTGTTGTTAAACAAGAAGTTGTGGAACATTGCATAAAAGAAGTTATGGAAGGAGAAAGAGGCAAAGAGATTAGAAAGAATGCAACCAAATGGAGAGAAGTGACAAAAAAGGCAATGGATGAAGGTGGAAGTTCAGATAGAAACATTAATGAGTTTATTGCTAAATTAGTTAATGTGTCTTAAAGCTTTAGTGTGTATTCAATAACTATATGTTCTTCAAGCTAGTGTTGTCTTATATGTACCAAGATTTGGTACAAGTGAGTGAGTTATGCAAGATTTTGCATAATCAATATCAATTTATTGTCACAATTTCGATTTGTGAGTTTGAGTTTGAAATCATGATGGCCTTTAAGGCTTTGCCTAATGGCCTAAGTTGATAATTACTTTATATTATTTTCAATGTTCACCTATTGTATTTTTTTGCTCATAGAAATGATGTGAAAAAGAAAAGCATGTGGATTATTTGATGATGTATTTCCATGACTACATATGCTTATCTCATCAATTATCATTTTCTCTTTTTCCTTTTGCTAATGTGCTCCCACATAATAATGCAAAACATGTTTCCCAGTTACTTTTCCTTTTGATAATTAATTTGCCCCACACAATAATTGCAAAACATGTTCCCAATTATAATATTAACCAAGTCAAAGATGATTGATATACAATATGGTTGCAAAAGAGTTATGTTCATGTATTTGTTTGAAAATGTCTTACATATAAGGATGGCAATGCGGATTAGAGCGAAGTAAAGTTTTGACGCGTTAAAATTAACTCGCCCTTTATTTAAGTATTACTCTCTCCGTTCCTAATTACTTATCCACTTTTGAATTAGCACACCTATTAAGAAATCAATTAATGACATAGTGAGTTTACCATTTTACCCCTATTAATTATGAAGTGGATGGAAAATTTTGCATTTTTCAAAGTAATTGGTCATTTAATTGAGGGTATAATAGGTAAAAAAAATTGTCTTTTCTTGATTTATCAAAATGAACAAGTAATTAGGGACAACTATAAATGGAAAAGTGAACAAGTAATTAGGGACAGAGGAAGTAATTTATATTTTCTATTTTTTTATGTTCTATTTAGCTTTTAAAACATGATGATGAGTCTCTGACCTTTCTTAGTTATTATACAAGGTGTGATAAATATTCATTTGAATTTTAAATGTACTTAATTCCACAAAGTGTGATAAATTTATGGGAAATGGTCTCATATATTCCTCAACTTTGTTATTTGGAGCTGATATGTCCTCGTTATGAAAGTGGCTCATATATACCCTTACAATTATACAAACAGCTCACATATACCCTTAGTTTAACGGAAGTGAAAAAAATAGTTTTAAATTTATGTTTTTGACTTTTAAATTTTAAAAAAAATCATGTAGGGGTATATATGATCCTTTTAGCGAATTTCAAGGTATATTTTAATCTTTTTTATACATAAATTATTTTTTGACGTCTTTGATTATCATTTTTTGAGTTTCTTATTCTTATATTATTTTTTTCTTTCGTTCGTTAGTATAAAGAGAAAATTTTAAAACTAATTTTTTTGTGGCTATATTATAATTTAAAAGTACTATTTTTTTTTTACTATATTGTTATTTAGTTTTTGTATTGAAAAAAAATTTGGTCATCTATAATAAAGTTTACAAGAAAATTAGTGAAATATAAATAAATTTGACCATCAAAATAATAACTTTAAATAGTCGTTGAAACAGAAAAAATAAAAAAAAATTATGTGTGAGGAGAATTAAATATACACATATGAGATTATATTTTTTTTAAAATAATAATAATTAAAATTAATTTTTTTCACTTCCATTAGAGAAAAAGGGTATATGTGAGTCATTTGTATAGCAATAGGGGCATATATGAGTCACTTTCATAATGAGGGGTATATCAGCTCTAAATAATAAAATTGAGGGATTTATTAGACCCTTTTCCCTAAATTTATTGCAAATATTTCATTGGAATCAACGTTATCTATGGTAGCAAGCTACAGACTGTTCAAAACACTAAAAGGAACTTCTCATGAACACACCTGTCGTGCCCTGCCAATGGTGGAGCCAAGTGGTGTCGACCGACACTCCTTTATCGAAAAATTACATTGTGTAGTTAGAATAAACATATTTTTGTTATGTATATATATTACACATTGACACTTCTTGACTTCTACACGATTTTATTTCTTTATATTTTGATACCCCTTAACGAAATTCGGGCTCTGCTACTAGCCCTGTTAAAATTTTAAAAATGTTAGCTATGACCCACCTTGCCCACCCCATTTAAGTATTGCCCCACCTTGTCCCATTAGGCCTTTGCCATGCCTCGTCCTTGACCTGTCCCATTGCCATCTTTTTAACTTAAATAGAAAACCTCATTAATGTCGACTCAAAATATAATAACAAAGTGCCAAAATTTTACATGTTTATCACTAATGATACATTAACAATTATTAGCTGAAAAAAGTCTTGAAGCACACAAACTTCAAGTATTACTCTATCTGAAAGAATAACTTGATTTCATTTTAGCCTAGAGGATACATCAACAAAAAACTCCAGCCTTAGCAACGAGAATTCCTCATACAATACATATTCCTACATCCTTAAAAACTCAGACCTGCCTACTATCTCCCTCTTTCAATGTTTAAAGGGAGAAAGGACAAACATACCCCCAAACTATCATAAATGGTATACAGATACCCTCCGTCATAGTTTTGGGACATTGTTGCCTCTACCGTCCAAAAACTAGAGCAGATATAACATTTATACCTGCCGTCCAAAAAGATAAATTATGGGTGCTTTGGACTAATACCTATTATATAAAGGACGAAAGCATATGAAATACTAGCGCTAAGAATGCTTCATGGATGATCCAGCAAATTCTCAAGGCTAAGCGCTACTTTGAAGAAGCTGACCATGAGCTTGAAACTGTGCAATAGATGGAACAGTTCTCCATTAAGGCTTATCTATCAGTCCATAATAGGACCAGTTTATAAGGTGCCTTGGTATAAAAAATTGTATGCAGGAACAAAGGAGCTAAAAAGACGATCTTTACTCTGAAAATGGCAGCACATGATCGACTGCCTCACACGAGATTGCTTGCGTAAATGAGGCATAGACACAAGCTCAGTTTGTCCCATATGTCTCTTGGAAGATGAAACCAACCAACACTTGATTTGTCGATGTAATGTCACTGGTCACCTGTGGAACAAGCTACTAGTAGGGAAAGATGCCTAGACAGTCTTGATTGGCAAGGAGAACTCGCTTGGGCGATTGAACACTGCAAAGGAAGGAGTATTGTATAAAATGACATTGGCTACAACTATTTACCATGTATGGCAAGAGCATAACCATCGTATCTTCCAAAATGTTGCAGAGAAAAGTAAGCATTCGGGAGATATATTATAGAGATACTATGTATCCCAAGATAGCTACGTATATAACATAGTTTGATAACTACCCATCCTAGCTAGCTCAGGAAGAATTATTAGAGAAGAGAACAGGGGATGCTAGGTACTTCTGGGCTAGGAGCAATATGTCCTTCCCAGCTAGAGTTCTGTTTTTGTTCCTTTTCTTGAGCTGTACATTTTCCATTTGGTAAATAACATCTTTTAGTTACCAAAAAAAAAAAGTGCTTATGAAAATAAACAGTTTTTAGCAACAATGCCAAACAAGCTCTTAGTATAATAGATACAATGAGGTTGTTTATCAGCACACTAAAATCTACTTTCAACAGGTGCATTCACCCTCTTGGCATTCTTTAGTTGGTCCAGAAGCTATTCTGCATGGAAAAGAGAAACAGAAACATTATGCAACTATGATGTGCACTGTGCTCCTGGTTGAAAACACCAAAAATAGATGCTAACAACAGAATGCAATGCCAAATAACTCGTGTATTAAAAAAGTCTACTAACTCTTCTATTTTTTCTTTTTTTTAATAGTCTCACCAACCCTTCCATTCAGAAACAGAATATTTACCAACAGACAGTCGGACACAGATAAAATCACAAGCGAAACTAAAAGCCCATAATTAGGAATCTGCTTTTTATCCAACAAATGCAAATGTTCAAAATTCACAAACTGAAATACTTTAAAGTCATATATATGAACCTCATGGGCACCTAATGGCTACAAAACAGGCTGCAAACAGCTTTTGACGTCAATAATTAGTCTTTCTTTTTTTTCCAGAATCAAATAGGATTTAGACCTTGTATAATAGATGGCATGGATGGAAAGACTCATGAAGTTATTCAATGTGTGGGATATAGTAGGATAAGAACTTCTGTACCTTGGATATTTTACAATAAGAAAAGGATCCATCCAAATTCTTAACTGCAGCACAGGAGGACAGTAACTTATAGCAGCACATGTGACATTTCAGCCTGTAACCTTTATTGCCCCAATTTCCTCAATCTTTTAGCTCTTGTGCTGCAACATTTCAGTATGTAAGAATATTACCATTGGTATAAGGTGAAGGTATGGTCTTAATATACTGAAAAAACTGCCCATATAATGAGCTCAGAAACGAACTTAACATTTGCACAGATCATATTGAATGCAATATTATCTTACCTTGTTTCTCTTGTGTTTGTTAACATCATTAAGATCCTCCTTGCCATCATGCTTCTTTCTCTGATATCATCAGAAAGATCATAATCAGTGAGGTCAAACAAAAGCATAAACACATTCAATACATTATAGCTATTTGCTAAAGTCCTAAAAGTGTCAACTCTGTGATGAACTTTTTACAGCAAGAGTAATCCCAACAAGCCAGCTCAATAGTTAAGCTCCTCTAGGCCAAGACATCAAATCAAACAAGAAAAATTACCCATAATTGTTACATAGAGAAAGAAAACAATGTCAACCTCTCATTATAACAGTACATAGCATACAGTACGACGAGAAAAATTACCGAATCAAACATCTCATAAATTTAGTACATAGCATACACAGTAAAAGATGAGAGCAATCAAACAAACTAGAACTTGAAGCTACTGTTAAAAGCAAAAGGCTAGTCATGGAAATGATGATGTATATACCTTATTAAACTAAGTCAATGGCTATCTTTTGACGCAGTAACTGAAAACTGAAAGTCAAGCAACAATTGATTCAACAAACTCTAGAGCTAGATATTTCCCAAAATTAAACCTTTTTATCCTGAACTCTATTCTACTTGAATCCTATAAATGCAACTTATAAGCTACATCACAAATGATGTAGTGGAAGTTCATGGAAGCAAGAGAACAGATAGCAAGATTCTAAGTGGGACTATTAAAAATATTTCTGTCAGTTACTAAGTAATGCCATTTTCAGTAACAACACCATTGGGCCTATTATTAAGTGGCTTTACTGTGAACCAGTCTTATAAACTTCTTAAATATGAAACAACCACATGATATTCACAGTATATGGCATGCCAGGAGAATCACCGGATTTGCATAACTCTTAAATTTGCTAGTTCTTTTTTGATAAGGTAAATAATTTTATTAACATTTGCTAGTAGCAGACCTTTTCATGATGTTTCGTTGAATGGTCAGCACCAGAATCATGATGGCCAGTTTTATCTTTCTTTTTCTCTTTATCCTTATCTTTACTTCGATCTTTATGACGGTGTTTGTGCTTCTTATGCTCTTTGTCCTTCTCCTTGTCTTTATCCTTGTGCTTCTTATGCTTCTTCTCCTTGTCTTTCGACTCACTTTTAGACTTTCCAGCTACAGTGGGGATCCCTTTTTCGGACTATGAAACACCAAATCAGGAATTAGTGGAACAGGCAAACTGGCATTATAGAAAAGCACAGGGTTAGAGAAAAAAATGCAGTTCCGCGCCTCCATCTTCAGAGATCAGAAAAGGAATAAAAGGGTTACTTAAAGAGCTGAATCAGACATACTTATATAACTCAAGCTTCACACAATAGGTTTCTCACCAGAGGCAGAACAATTGGAGCTGCTTCACGTAGTTGAAAAGCTTCGTTAAGAGCATCTAACTCAAATGGTTGGATGCGTGAATTTGTCTCCTTTAAAGACGACGTATCACATATAAGCTGATCCAACTGCATCCCTTCCCCTTTCCTAATCTCTCTGTCTCCTACAACATTGTGAAGGTAGCGTGTATCTGAAATTGACAATGGAAGAGGCTTCTTGCAGAAGAACTCGTGATGAGGCAACAACTTGAAGTGATTAATAAGATCCACAGCACCTGCAAGCTCTCTTGGCCCTAATAATGTATTTGGACCAATCAACCACAGTAAGCCAATGATGTCTTAATTAAAATGAAAAAAATTTCAAGGAGAAGAAGATAAAAGAGTCAAATGATTTGATTTTAAATTCTTCATCAGAATTTTTTTAAAACGGGAAGCGCAATATTCTATCAGCAATCACAACCTTTACAAGACCTAAACTGTGTGCAAACTATGACCACTTTGGCAAGACTTCAAGCATTTTTTAGTAATTTGTGAGATCTTGTTACCAAACTCGTAACCCTATGAACAAAACACTACCAGCCAACATCAATCCAAATGCTGCAAGACGAAGCTGGATAACACATTGCTTAGCACAGACATTTTTTCAAAACCTCATTCAAAAAGCGACAAAACTAGCATCACTAATCTTCGTTTGTTTCCCAAATGTATGATAGTGGTTACATACTTGGAGTGCAAAAGAAATAGGCAAATACAAGTCAGAAGTAAATCAACCACTTCCACTTCCTGAAATTAAAAAAAAAAAATGGCACCACAAAAGAAGAAGAAAAACAGAAAAGAGAAATTCAACACCAAATACATCAAGCAGGAAATTCACATACAAGAACAGATCAAATGCAATGCATTCCATTCCACCTTCAATCAAAACCTAGGCATGCAATATGGACCCAAGTAGAGTCAAATGTTAGCAGTAGTCTTTTTACCCTAACATGCAAAGAAACTGTTCAAAGATCACAGTAAGAAGCTCACCTCTTCCAAACTTCTTGCTGTCTGGATCCATCAATTAGCGCCCAGCATAGAGATAGAGCATTATTTCCTGGTAAGTATTGGTAGGTAAGACAATGTCCACAGCTATCCAGCTAACAATGGTCTACTTATAGGATTTGGAATGCAAACAAAATGGCAATGGCATTATACAAATTCACATGTAAGCTGGCTTAGTAACCATGGTGAACCGATAAGGCGCATCAATTTCAGTATTTATACAAAGTAAAAGATACCAAGACACCTTGGTTTGGCATGGATTAATTTTAATCAAACCAAAATTGTTAAGAGTAAAAGATATGTCAGCTCCAGTAAATCCAGAATGAAACCAAACATTAATATGCCAAACTAGTGAGACAACTTAGAATGTGAATTCACGAACAGATCAGCTCGTCTAAAACCCCACATCCAGAGGGATGTAGAAATTTCTCACTGATCATGTAATGATACTTAAATATAACGTTGAACAGCAATAAAATCCAGCAGTATACATTTTCTTTAACAAGAAGTACAAGGCTCTAAAGTATGAGTGATGGGAGTCCACAGAATAGAGGGGAAAGTAAGAAAAGGAGACAACAAAACATAACTGGTAATACATGTTCAGAGACGATTATCGGGAGATATTATGAAAGTTAAATAGGCAAAAACGGAATAAAAAGGAAGTAAGTTGTTTTCAGTCTAAACCTTTATTCTAGAAGAGGCATGAAAGAACGCAAATGATGAAGACAGCCAGTTTTGGGATGAAATTAATAATGACATGGTTCCCATGTATCAAGTCATCAAAATACATCATAACATGAATAGTGAAATAAGATAATAAATGTCTAGTTGGTCAGGATACTCGGCTTTCACCCGAGAGACCCGAGTTCAAGTCCCGGCAATGGAATATTTAGGGAAAAAAAGATAATAAAAAACTAATGTTGAAAGCCGTCTCAAGAGGAAACATGCAAACGTAAAAGATCCCACTACGCAACTTTAGACAATTGACCAGGAGACGAATACTCCCTCTTACCAGATAAAATGACCTGATTTTACTAACGGGGAGTTCAAAAACAGAATGTATGAATAGATTATTATATTGGGATTGGTAGAGAAGTATTATAAAAATAGTTTATTATTATCTGTGAAAGGTGCGTTTACGCCCTAAAACGAGGCATAAAACATGTTGAGTGTTTCGCCTCGCTTTATAAGCACTTCGGTGTCGTCATCAAGGATGTAAAACATACTTTTCCTTGCCAATGAGTGCAATCTTGAAGAGGTGACACTAAACAATTGATATTTCATTTTATTAGAATTATTTTTCAATTTCTTTGTCAACATATTTATTGTTCATGCTTATGATTATTAGTCTGGGACTACACATACATATTTGTAGTTTTTCTCCATTTGCGTCTTTTTCCAATAAAGCACACGCTTTATTTGCGCTTAAAACCCAAAGGACCTTAGAACTTTTTTGTGCATTTCGCTTTCAATAACACTAATTATTATATGGATTTAGGAAAAGAGGTGGACAATCCAGCAGAAGAGATCTCACATTAAGTTGTAGTCAAGGATTTGACCTAGTAGTCAATAAAATGGATGAAAAACACGATTCAAAATTTAAATCCCAACAGAGACAAGAAGAATAGTAGGTGATTTTGTTTCATCTATCTAAGCATTCATGAGAAAACTTATTTGGTACTTGTTCTTGTGGAAGGTAACATGTATCTGGTGGAATAGCTGAGATGCATACAAGCATGCCCAGAAACCACTGTTATCAACTGATAAAATAAAAGGAGATGTCGCATGAGGAGTGTCATAAAATACATGAAAGGTTCCATGTATCGAGTCAATTTTAATTTCTTTGTTTGATTTCTTATAATTTGTTTCACTGCATAAAAAATCTTTATTATAGCTATACATAACATTACAACCAAAAAAAGTCTTTTTTAAAATGTTTTGAGAAAATTCCACATGGGTCAATTTGGGCTACATAATTATCCCAAATCCGCCCCAACTTTTGATGGGCTGAATTGGCGTGACAAAATGGGCCACCCAAACTTGGGTCGGTCATGTTTTCATTGGCTAATTTTGCCACCCTTATGCCATAGTAAGTTATAAAAAAAAATGGTCAAACACATAAGGGGGCCCTTAAACTTGCCACAATTTTTCATTTTGGCACCTTAACTATAGCGTGTTCCAATTAGACACTTCAACATCATTAAAATTATACCTATTAAACACAAATAAGTGATGTGGCAAAGTGTGTGCATCACATTTTCTCTAAGAGAGTGAAAGCCTAAAAAAATATTCTATTTAATTTCTTTTCCTGTCTTCTTTCTATTGTCATCTGAAACTACCGAATCATGAAATACTATATGAGTCAATTTAATTTAATTGAAACAATAACTATCAGGATCTTTATGATACAGAATAATGATAAAATTAGATAATCACTATTTGGTATTTAGTATAATAACCATTGGCCTGGGTCTCTAGGATACAAGAAAACAAAGAGGCGTAGACTAAAGGCATACATTTTTAGTTTAATTATCTATAGGAAGGAGAAAACAGATAATGAGAACAACTTATAGCACTAATAATGCACAACACAAAACACAATACTGGCAACAATCGGGATTGAAAATTGAGAAGAATATGAGCAAAGCTTTAGGGGAGGGGGTAGGAGACGATGGAAGAGACTAGGGTTGAAGAACACTGGCATAACGATTGGTATTGAGAAGTGGGAAGAAAATACACTATGGGAAGGGGGGATCATGCGAAAATAACATATATATTATTTTAAAATGTTGTTTTAGTAATATATGAGTCCAAATGCCACGTATCTTCATTTTATTTGGAACTTATTCATGTCAATGAGTGTGAATAACACACTTTATATTTTTGGGGAATTATCGGTGAGGTGCTTCAAAGACAAAGTTCAGACTTAAGTGTCTAATTGGAACAAGCCATAGTTAAGCCTAAGGTGCCAAAATGAAAATTTGTGGCAAGTTTAAGGGGCCTTTATGTGTTTGGTCTATAAAAAATATAAAAGGCATCAATTTATCAGTTTGATTCATTTGACGGAAATGTGCCATATGAAGAAAAATGATTGAGCATTTCAAATGAGGCAACAAGGACACTTGGTCACTATTTTGGGAAGGAAAGAGTAACTCACTAGCAGGATATATAACAAAAGAAAACTCACAATCTGCACAAAAAGAAGATAATTGATTGGGAATCCTCTTTTCAGATATGACAAGGGCTGTCATGTTTTCTTTTAATTACTGCTTTGATTTGTTTGATCAGAAGTTCTTCAAGAAACAGCCTCTCTACGTTGGAGATGTAGTGGTGAGGCCTACTACGTACACTCTCCCTCCCAAAACCACACTTTGTGGGATTTCACTGGATTTTTTGTTGTTATTGTCTATCCTATATCTTTTTCTAAAACCATACATTTACAACATATCGAAAAAGGACCAAAACTCAATTGACAATAAAGGAAAAAGATCAATCCCAATAAGCAATAACTAGACTTTCAATTTCCAAAATCTTAGACCACCTTTAACGCCAAAATTCCAAAAATTCACATACTAAAATATGCCAGTATATTTCAAATTCACTCGAAAACCAAAGTTAAGTCATTGTTCCCCATTCTCATCATTTAATACATTCCAGTATCAACCAAACATCTTCATCGCCAGAGTTCAATTATAAGCAAAAACACAGCAAAGAGGAATCCAAAACATACAATCATACAACATATATGAATTCAAATTTCGACGTAGAAAGAAAGCATACTCGATCTGACAGAGTGATCGGAGAAGCAAATTAGGGTTCCGGCGAAGCACGAATCTATTTTGCTCTCCAATTGAGATGCTATTAAAACCCTAATTCCTCTTTCGCCAAGTTGAGATGCTATTGGGGGAAAATGGACCTGGATTTTTTAATTAATAGTATATATTATCAACCTGTCATTTATTTGTTAAGTAATAACCCTATAACTAATTTTCTTTATAAACATGGTGTTCGGGTGGCTCTTTTCTTAATCAGAGATTTTGGTTCGAGACTTAGATACAGGGGAAAAAAAAGTTTCTCCTTAATGAGGTTTAAAGCGCGTGATGTTGAATTAGTCAGATTTCAATGCAGATATAGTATATTAGATGGATTTTTTTAAAGAAAACATGGTGTTCAATTTCGTTTACGCACAATTTGACTAATTTTATGAGATATTTATCATTTTACACTAGAATTAGGTATCAAATAACAATACCGAAAGCTACAAAAGATGGAAGAAATCAGTAATATTTTTATTTGTGTTGGAATTTGGAGATGAGAACTTGTGATTTTCAATCGACATTACTAATATTTTAATGAAATAATTATTTGAAAGTAGAATTGACCTAACTATATAGTCAAAATGAGACATGGTTTTTAAATTTTACCAAATTTAACTAGTTAACTATTGTTATCTCTCTTCCTTACACACCCAAAAGTCAAAACTCTCTCTCTCTCCATATTCCACTCTCGGATCATTTTTGAAATTTTCAGATATGATTTTATTAGTTGATTTGCTAATTGGAGGAAGTTTCTTCGATGAAGGTGGTGATAACGGCAATTAAATGATTTGATTGTTTTACTTGTTCAAGTGAAATGAATGGTCTCATATTTATATTAAGTTGAATTATTGGTAATGGTCACTACTTTTGAAGAAATTTACATCTTTAAGTCATTAGTTTCTATTCGTTATTGGAGTTACTATGAAATACTATTGATGTTGTTGAAGTCATAAGCAACAATTATTAAAGTTTGAAGTTTCCAAATTTTGAAAATTTGTTTTTTTTTCACAAATAAGTTTTATTTCAAGTGGATATTATTGAGACTACATATTGAGGAGCCTAAATATGAATTTTTGGGTGATTTGATCTAGTTTTGGAGGTGTTTTTGGATGAACATGTACGTCAACTTTTATATATTTTTGTAAAAACTAAAACTTGCATATCATTTACCAGAGTACAGGAGATAATCATAAAGTGTTACGATTAAAAACAAATGGTAATATCTACAATGTTACTGATTCTTAGCGATGTCATCAGAATTTTAACCAACGCTTAGATATTTATATAATCGATTATCAACCAATATGATCTCTAAAACAAAATTAATTTCCTAAAAGTTTAGTCATTATTCAGAAAAAGATCACTATGAATAATTAGCCGTAGTTATCTTTTAAATGAACATGATAGACAAATATATAAGTTAAAACTCAATGGAATAGAAGGCTGAAGTAAAAATATAATCCCATACATTGTCAAAATTGACAAGTCTCATTCTACTAAGCATGCAAAACTGAGGTTTCTACCTAGTAGCAAAAGAAAAACAATATAAATAGAAAACCTTAAGGCAACAAGGATTCAAAGTTCTTCTACAAATTCACTAATCATCGTCTTCCTCGTCGTCGTCATCATTTCCACCAGCTGCGTTCAAAGCATTGAGTCTCTCGATCAACTTAGCTTTCCTCTCTTCATAAGTCAGCTTCTTAAGGTTGTACCTGCAGAACAGCCCCAAGAAGTATAGTTTAAAAAACGATGGACTTTCTGTCAGGACACATCTAAGCACTATGTAGTTCAGACAGTAACGTAGCACGATAATCAGTAGAGATGAAGATCCTCCAGAAATGCATCAAAACAAGTTACACCTCAAGCAAATGAAGAACGGGCCTAAGTGGACACAGGATACAACACTAGTGCACCTATGAATTTCAACTTGTCCTGGTGATTTTAACTTCTATCATTGATCATTTTCTATAAAGCTGATAAGACTAAGGAAAAAAAATTCAGACCTCTTGTGTGTCTTGGGAGGTTGCTTTCCAGACTTCTTTGGACTTAGGTCTGCACGTATGGCAGCATGAACCTTCTTGTACATCTCCTCAAGATTGTCTGCCTCAAGACCCGACTTGATGTATAAGCTGAAGTGTGTCTGATATTTCTCAGGTTCATCTTCCATCAAAGTCTGCAAACAATGGTTGAGCATATTAGAGACGGGGAGTAAATAGAAGCCAGAACAAACACTGAAAATAAACAATCTTCTATGCCCTACCCATGGATTCTACATAAATTACAAAAGAATCAATCTAAGGTACTTCTATATCTCACATTCATATAAGCAGCAACGTGGCCACCATAGATATACTTGCGGTGAACTTCTGCATCGAGTTGCTTAGAGTCCTTGCTGTATCCAGCAAACCTCTTCTCGCTATGAGGGATGTCGATCCCACCATCCAATGCACCCTGAGTCAAAGAATCAATATTCCACAACACAGATAAGACACAGTTTAAATGTCACATGACATGATTTATACATAATTAATATCTCACCATCCAATGCACCCTGAAACCAAGAAAAATGTTGCAGATAGACATTTTATTGTTTAATGCACCTTAAATAATAAAAATGAAGGAAAACATGGTCCCTCGTAGAGAAAAATTACTACATGATCTACCCAACAGCCCCTACCATATTTAGGAGAGTTAAACAAAGTTTTAGTTTCTCAGAGAGTAGAAATAATCTTGATAATGTTCTTTACTTTGAAGTTATAGCTGATTGGAGAACCATTCAATCAACAACTCACAGAAAGTATAAGATGTTGTTTCACAAATTAAAATTTTCAATTAAAGCAAATATTAGCAGTCTGGCGCATCGTATAGACTTAAACTCAGAGAGAAGAAACCAACAGCAAAAGCAGGTTAATACCTTGAGAGCACCAAAAACACGGTTCCCTGTGGTAGTTCTCAAGAGGCCGACGTCCAAGAGAGCACGGAAAGGCCTCCTGCTTTCAGCAGGTTCAACGGAGTAGTCCTCTCCGTTGACCTGTAACAACATGCAATTGAAGTTAGACATACAAGAAACTGCAAACAGGACAAAAGATGCACCCAGAAACCTTGCTTGCAGCTACCACTTACATCAAGATTTCCTTGATATTCTTCATCCATTTCAAGCTTCTTGAGAACTCGCCTTGCCAAAAGAAGTCCGGTACAGTATGCTAAAATGAGGCATTAAACCACTTATTAATTAGATATACAGAAGAATTTCATCTGGGATAACCAATAAATGAATAGCTTGTGTAAGTACCAGCAGCATAGTTCGTCAATCCAACTTTAAGTCCAAAATGAGGCAACTCGCTTGCATAAGCAGAAGCAAGAATCATGTCACCAGCAATACTAGCAGACACAATTTGTGCAATTATGTCCTTGTTAGTCTAGAGAATATGTTAAGATAAAACTCGGGAAAAATCACCACCCAACATCACAGATAAGTTACTATCAGAATTTCCATCACTAATCAAGTGAAAACATTCCAAGTGACATTCTATGAATGCACAGTAATAAGGAATTGTTCTGTGGACCAAACAAAAAGTAGATCATTCTCCAAAAGAAATAGCAACATAACCAAGTAGCTGCTTTGCAAGTTAAAAGGGCAGAAAATGCATTAGAAAGGATACAAATCGAACAACGAAACGGTATTTTGGAGTGTTGTACTTGTTTTTGTCCTGATTGATCAGACGATTCCTGGCTCTATAGTCAGTCTTTCCCTCTACACAGTAACAAAACATTGAAATTAGTGATATTTTAATTGAGAACAGACCAGAAAAGATGAAGGAAGATAGTGTTTTACCTCTCCTTCTCTTGAATTTAACCTGGAAACGCTTGAAGTAAGCCCTAGTCTTCTGGACTTTGATGAAGGCCTGCAACATAATTTAGCAACAATGTCAAAACTCAAAGAAAATGAAGCATTCAAAATCATTGTTAACGCAACTTGTACCAATCATTCATTTGCAGGTCATATACAATTTTTTCCCAAACAAAATGCTATTGGAAGGTCAAGTAAGTAACATAAGCTTTATTTTAGATCTAGAAGAGAATCGATAAGTGGTTCAATCCCATCACGGGATATGCAGTGGAGGATGGAGTTCATAAGTTTCAAACAGTATTTTTTGACACAACATAAATACATGAAGAAAATCCTTCTAGATATTAAAAAGTCCAATTAGTTCAACGATAAGAACCTTAAAGCTTGAACCTTTCAAGTTTAAAACCTAAGTTAAACTGCAGTGATATACTGTCATTAAAATCAAGCTCAAATCAGATATAGATTGCAAAATCCAAGTCCACAAAAGAGAATAAGACAGCTTCCATCACTAGCTCTACAAGTTGACAATCTGAGCTACGAAAATCAAACTCCTTGCCCCTATTATATTATCTACTGCCTAATATTTATACAAAATAAATTGTTATACCAACATTCTGATCCATAGAGAAATATTTTCAACTTCCCAAGAGATAATCCATTTTTTGTTAATATTTTCATACATACACCAAAAAAAAAAGTGGAAACAAAAGCAAATCAAACTAAGCACATCTCAATAACATAAAAACAGGTCCATAAACAACAAAAATAACACCAAAACCACAATTTACTGCTCTTATATACACCAAATAACCATATACAGTACAAATTATGCATGAAAAACTCTATAGCTATAATTTTTTTGGACAACAAAATGTATATCATGAATTGAAAAGTACAATAGAAAATCTGAAACATACATTTCATTGAGATTATAAAAAGTTAATTAATTCTTACCATTGTTGTTCGTCAATTAAGCCTCCGCCGGCGCTTGGGGCTGTGGGGAATGAAGTGAAGAAGAAGCTTGTGTGAGAAAAACACTACTAATATGAAGCTAAAATACCTAACGAAACCCTAATGGGCCAATCATGAAATGTTGACCTGAAGGCCCATGTGGGTTCAGCCCATTGATATATGAAGCCCATAATTATTAATATTAAGATTAGAATTTATTTTTTAGAAAATACATAAATTATACTTTAATGTTTTCCAAAAAAAAAAAGTTATATACCTATTTTATTCGAAATCTCATCAC